GGAAAATAAATAGAATGGTTCAGTAACTGGACACAATAATTCAGTCTATAAAACATAATGATAATAGACTGTGGCCGCCATAAAAAGCGGGTACTAATGGACATAATTGAGTTGAAGATTATCTTGATCCTGGGTAATGCATGTTTCACCATAAACACCCAAGACAACCAAGTCACAATCAACCGAGAAGCAAAGACCACATATTATTTACAGTGCCTATGAATAATGCTATCCTCCATGGAAACAAGAATTAAGGCACTGCATCTTTTAAGTCTTGCTGCCATCGTGTATCCACCTGGAGCGACTTGTTCAAACAAATAGGAGCAGTGTCAATTACATAACAATAACATTGGGAGGGAGATCTGCACTACAGATGGGAAACAAAGCCTGGGAATATTATAAATATGATGATCTGTTCATTTACATTTATATCTATTTCAGGGTAATTGAAAAACTGGTGACTTCATTCTATTGCTGTGTTTTTTGGTTAGCAAAATATATTTACTGCAACAACTCTTCAAAATGGCATCAGACTTATTTACACACAATCCGAGAAGGCTGAAATACAACTCAAATATGTTTTTGGTGTTGTACAGCTGCACAATCCCAGGTCAAGAAATTAAATAAAGGGATGATATTGCTTATATAGGAACAGAAAATAGTAAATACATGTACAAGATAAAGGCGTGCCATGACGTGAGCCATGAAGAAAAGGTATTTGGTATTAGTCATTAACTCACAGATTTTGTTCATTGTGAAGTGACCAGCACAAAAGCTAAATCAAAGTTGCTTCCCATAAAATAGGTAATCAAATAGTAGAATAGATGTTGAGATCATTTGTAAGTTCTGAATTTGTTTAGACACTTGACAAAGCCATATTTGGAACCTTTTCCTCAAGTCCAGAATTTAATGGAAGGAAATTTGTCTCTTATCTAGGCCATTTCTTTTGCCAGTTCTGATGAAAGGTCATTGACTTGAAACGTTAACTCATTTTCCTCTCTCCATGGATTTTGCCTGACCTGCTGCGTGTTTCCAGCGACTTCTGTGGTTATAACAGACATCTGCAGTACTTTGCCTTTTGTCTCTTTTCTCGTCTATCCTGAAGTTTGTCAGATTTAAAATCTGTCTTGTAGTTCTGCATCTATAGCCCCACGTGAAATAGTCTGCTTTAAGAAAAAGTTAAACTCCAGTATAATCCTCATCGTTTTTCTCTGAACTCACTCCAATGCCTCAATGTCATTTGGAAAGTAGTGTCCAAAATTGCTCATGGTTTTCAAATATGACTCCAGCAACCACTTAAGGAGCAAACTAATATAGCTTCAAAAAAAATTAACAGTGAGTGGCTAGGGCTCGAGGAGGGTAAGACCCCCATCCTATTTATACCTCAACTCTTTAAGTGGAGCTGGTAGGAAAAGCCTTGAGGAAGACCACAGCCAGTCCTCCAAGAAACCCCAACCTGCAGCACCTACAGGCCCCCTCTTCCCCCTCTCCCAACTCGTTGACACCACTTGTCCAACTCGAGTCCAGTGGGCTGCTCATCAGGGCATCCTGTAGTACTGTAGCTTAGTGGTTAGAGCACTCGCCTCACAAGCGAGAGGACCTGGGTTCGATTCCCAGCAGGGCAACACGTTGGGCAAGTTCCCTTACTCCACACGCCTCTGTTCACCTAGTAGTAAGTAGGAGCCTGATTTTAGGGTACTAATTGGCTGGTGGGTAATAATCCAAAAAAAATAATAATTTGGTCACTCAATCTACGACTGTTTGTGGGATACTGCTGTGCACAATTGGCTCCTGCGTTTCACCCACAATATATAGTCAATTCACTTTACAGTCTATTCTGAGAAGCACGCTATACCAAATGCAAGGATGATTATTATTATCCTCGCCTCTGATTAGCCAATGGACCTGTTAGACGAGCCAACAGTTCACCTGTCTTAAAAGGGACTGAGTTTCACTCCCCCATCCTCCAATATGGTGAGTCCAAGTCACCCAATCATCAGTGATTCTGGAAAAGTTAATACAACAACCTGGTAGTATAAGCATTGTGTGCTGTGTGGAGGCTTCATAAGTTTGGAATATATGTAGCATTTTAGATATCCAGAATTTGGCAATTTATTGAATTCAGTGTTAACTTTGAAGTCAGTTTGCTTCAGTACTTAAATTAATTTACAGAAAACCAGCATAGCTACACCTTTGCCTCAGTCCTTTAGCCATTAGTTTGACACAGCCAAATAACAAACCCTGATAATGCTTTCATCACTCCTCCATTTCATCTACAAACCATTTGATGTATGAAGTAAGATAGTCAGCAAAAAAAAAGCTTGACACAGACTTACCTTTTAAAGAAAAAATATGCCCAAAACAGCTCTTACTCCCTCTGGCAGGTGGGGTGCAATGCTCTATTTGGGCCCATTTCCTCTCCATACCAGATACAAGCATCCAATGTGACTGACCCATTTTGCAGATCCTCTTCTCTAAACAAAGGATGATTGTGTCATAATCACTACCAATGCAAACTCATCAAGTGATAACAAGGGTTCTCTGTTGTCAATTAACAAGATAAAACGGTAACAGAGAAATATGGGTTTGATGAAGTACAATTCCTGGAAAAAGTCAGCTTTCTTATTCCATGCTTTCTGACATTTCATGGCAAATGGAAAAGTAAATGCTGAGCTGATTGTGATTATTTCCAAAAGGGTCCGTTCCTTTTTCCCAATGGAGGTTATCAGAAACACAAAGAATGTACAAAGTAAAAGACAAAGTCAACTTTTACTGCAGCATGAAGATGGAGCTAATTACAACACATTTTGACACCTAACTGCGTGAAAACAGTAGACCAACTCCGGAAGGCACTGTCTGACTCTCAAAAGTATTGTTACAGCCCATAGGCAAGAGGGAGCCTAACAGGACTCAAATTTTTTTTTGTGAACTGCTTTGGATTCTGTAGTTAGTGGCTTATGAATTATATAGAATTTAACTGGAAGGTACAAAATTGCTAACGATGTGACACTTTTCTGTTAAATTCAGCACTTAATGAAATGCTGCCAACCAAGGACGAAGCCTGAGGCTGGAAAGGAGTCGCATGATCCTGTGAGGATTTTTTTCAATACTGAAGAACATGTAAGAGAATATCGTTTGGGAAGAATAAGAATATTCAGGATAATAGTTTCAAACCAGGATTAAAAAAGTTGCAACAAACAGAATAAGAGTTTAAGAGAGAGGGTCACTTTTGCTTATCAGGGATGCAAAAGATGTAGTATGTAAGTGCTATGTTTAACTAATGGAGATGTTAAGGCAGTAACAATCCTGTTTACTTGCCATAATTGGCAAGTTGACCTGCAAATTGCTCCCAGTCCCCCCAAAATGATATTCATACCTAAAGGTTGTTACCAACTATATTGTTCTGTGGTAGCAGTGCAATTTGGGTGTTAAGTGTGTTGTAATAAACTCCACCTTAACAAAAGCATGGAAATGCTGTGTTCCTATCAACTGATGGTATCCAGATATTCGTAAAGCATCATCTGTGCTGCTTGGGGATGTGATCAATGCACAGAGAATCAGTTGCTTCCTCAAATTGTCTTTCTTATTTGAAGTGTATTTGTTTTACACCAGTGAGCAGGAGTGTACTTTATATTTTCTATGCAGCTAAAGGCTTCATGTAGAATTGGGAGAATATTTTCATAAATGTTTGAATATAGATTGTAGCCCACATAACCTTATAAGTACAAAGGCCTTAGTTTCTCTTTGGTACAATCAGTTTACATTCTGCAGAAAGTTCAGCATTTCACATATTTATTTTCCCAAATTTAAGCAGAATCTTTAAAAGTTCTGTTTCTGTACATCCTTATCAACGATTGTATTGTATTCCCCTTTGTTTGGCAGAGTGCTTAAACTCCATTCAGTTTTTACACTTGTTAACTTTAAGATGTCATCCATTGGCATCAACGATTCTTCACACTTTCTATCAAGTTTTATAAAATGAATGTCATGCCTCTCACTGCAGATTAGTAGTTGCAGAAGCAGATTGGTATTAATAGTGAAGCTTTGGGCTAGGCATCACTTAATACATTATTTCAAGTACTAGCATCCTAATGGTGGGTCAATATTAATATCTATGAAATTGTAAATCAGGTTAATCTTTACTTTTTAATGTATATACTTGCTTAAAAAACAAAAGTTAGAAGTTCAGTAAAAGTTTTAACTAGAAGTTCAAAAGGTGTTCTATAATACAACTGATAAATAATACTTTGACATGGAGCCTTTCATGACAGGAGGGAATCTCAAAGTATTTCATAGAATTTACTGTAAAGTGTAATGACAATATTTGTGGTCCCAAAACTATTTTTTAATATGTCCTTATACTATTGCTAATTGATGCACTAGCTCAGTCTCATATTTCCAATCAAAACAGTGTATTTAATAATGATTCAGTTTGATTTATACTGAACAAATTTACTTACAATAAACAGTAATGGAGAAAAAAAAAAGCATCAAACTTTGTTAATATTCAAATTTAGGTCCCAGAAGTTAGAGATTATGTGTGGCACACAATGTTCTTATTTCAAAATAATGATTTTAAAATCAAAAATGATTTTTAGAGTACAATCTTTATGGGGTGTTTATGATAAATTGGTAATTATTTTGCTAGATTTTAATTCACAAAATTAAAATCCCAGCAACGTTAACAATACAATTTTATTAAACAAGAAACCAAATTTACCATGGGAGTAGCAATAATGTTGAACAGACTTGCAGATAAAATATGGTGGACCAATCTTGGAGAGTCATAGAAATAGTCGTATCAAATTGTTCAAAATAAAGATCAGTCACTCCATTGTTGACCATAGATTCAACAACTTGGATTGAGATTCATCTCAAAACTAAGGAAGTGAGTCATTTACTCAATCGTATCTAAATAACTTGTAATTTACTATATATTCCCCATTTTTCCCCCCCAACAAAATAAAAGTTTAATCCAACAATAACTGGGACTCAAGACTCCAATGATAGTAGATATTTATTTTGGAACCATATATACATATACAGCAGCCAAAATGAAGGTCTCCATTTTAATTTGATTAAATAGTGGATGAAATTGAATTATCAGCAACACTGGAAACAATGTATGAAAATTCACTATTCTTTTATACTCTGAAGAAAGTCTACCTGATGCAATTTCAATGCGGATGGTAAAGACGGAGACAAAACAATATAACTGAAAAATGTTCACATATGATAAAAACAGCCTTTTAAATAAAAAAAAACAGTTGATGTTGTGACTCATAATCTGAGGTTATTCAACTCAAATGATTTCCAGATGCCTTCTGGTAATTTCCCATAGTCAAGATATACAGCAAACATCATCAAACCTGATGAGAACTACCAAGTCAAGCTACTTCAAACACTTCAGACATAACATCACAGAAGAACAAATACAATAGATTTTTTTTAAATATAGGTTTATAACTTTTACATCTTATTATGTTCTCTGTGACTGAAACAGCACTAGGTGTAGAGTGGATATCAATTAATCCATGAACTTCCTATTCTGGTTGGCACCAAACAAAGCCACTCGGATTTCTGGCATCATCTACAGAAAACAGAAAAAAAGAAAACAGTGTAATTATCCCTGCAGTTATGATCCAAGGTTGTAATTTGTTTCATTCAGATGTGTTAGATGCTCAACGACTGAATGTTTTGTGTCACTCTCTCCCAGGAGCATTTTTGACTTCCAATGACTACAAATTAAGCTTTGAAGGCTGTACTCTCAAACACATAAACATCCTAATCTATACACCCATTAAGATGTGAAACTGTGTTAGAGGGTACATAAACTGGTATATATCAACAATTTATACCGAATCAGCAACATCAAACACATATTGGTTACATTTCCAATGTGGTAATCTTACCTGCTGTGCAATAAGTTCCAATCTACTCTCCAAGGTATTGGCAACCTTGATTTTTCCATTAGAATTATACATCTCGATACCCCCAGCACTATTTAAAGCAGAGAGAAAAAAGAATTAGTCAATATTTCAATCTACTGAAGTTCAAGGAAAATCTTTTGGGTTGGGCTGGGGTAAAGAAAAGGGTGTAACAGTACTCAAAGTTCCTGCACCATATTAATGACTCACTGCTGCAGGTTACATTATAATAATAATCCTTGCATTTGATATAGTGCCTTATCGTGTCTTCAAGACGTCTCAAAGCGCTTCACAGAATATCGTGGAGTGAGTGACCAAAGTATTATTATTAAAAGGATTATTACCCCCGGAAAGCAATCTGCCAATGGATTAACAACCATGTTCCTACTTACTACTAGGTAAACAGAGGAAAAATACCTAAAGCAACATTACTGATGTATAATGATAATGATCTTTTACACTTTATTACCAATGTGTTAAGTACAAATTGCAGCAGCCTAGCAGCTCCAGTGAGGTTTGACATGAGCCTTTATTTTCTCTGCCAAGCTGGTGGCCCTGGTTTTTAATCTTTGGCAAAGGGACTAGAGGCTGAGTGAGGGCGCCCCGAAATTCTGGAACACTCTTTCTCTATCCATCCGCCTTGCCCCTTTCTTCCCCATTTTCAGGGCGCGCCTGAAGACCTTCCTATTTGATTGTGCCTACAGTCACCTCCACCTGCCCCCGGTTAGGTGCTTATTTAAAACAGCTATTTTGCGAGCTCAGTCTTCTCGAATCACTTACACATCTTCGGGTAGGACGGTTTCCTGATCTACACGAACATCAATTTCTTTCCTTGTGCTACTCTTATAAACAGGAATAACCTTGTTGACGGCAGCCTGTTTGAGGTTTTAAAAAAAAGTCAAGATATTTATCCATTTATACAGGATTACATCTCTTAGAATAAAGCATTTTGAAAAAATGTGAACAAGTAATTTGAAAACAGCAGATCACTGATTGGCCTGAACCTGGGTTATGGGTGTTCTGGAGGTAGAAGTTAAAAAGAAACCCCAGGTGAAATATTGTGAAGTATGGTACTTATCCACACATCAATATTTAATCCCCGATTCTACATGGAGTTAACTTGTGCAATCGTGGAGGCTCAACAGTTGATTTTAAGTGGCTCGACTGGAGACAAGGTAACCAGGGTTTCCGTTCCTAACTATTATCCAATAAACCCCATTGGAAATTGAACCTGGGAACCTTAAGCAAGGATAATATTTGTCTCAACTGTGATCCTCATCCTCACCTACAAGGCCATTCACGGCCTTGCTCCCTCCTACCTCTCTGACCTACTATCCCCCTACTTACCTGCCCATACCCTCCGTTCCTCTGGCTCCGGTCTGCTCCACATCCCCCGCCCCAACCGCCCTACCATCGGTGGCCGGGCCTTCAGCCTCTCAACCCCGAGGCTCTGGAACTCAATCCCCCTTTGCCTTGCTTCCTCCCTTTCCTCCTTCAAGGCCGGTCTCAAGACCTTTCTCTTTGATCGTGCCTTCAGCTCCCCTCTCAACTCTCTAACCCCTCCTTGCTCCCTCCCTTCCCTCCCTCACCCTGACCATTTCCCCCCTGCTCAGGTCCTGACCCAACTGTACAGCGCCTTGGGACATTCTCCCGACGTGAAAGGTGCTCTATAAATGGAATATTGTTGTTGTTGTTGTTGATGCCCATGGACAAATACCCTGCAGGGAGTCACTGTTCAGGCTCACACAAAACTGCAACTGAATTTGAGTGACTGCCCTTAAGAAAGGACAGGAAAAAAAAAGTAATTTTATTAATTCCCAAATAGAATAACAATCCTTGCATTTGATTGATATAGTTCCTTATCACATCACTGAAACAGAATGCAGTATATGTGTATTTTGTATGTGTACACATGAATTTCCCACAAGCAGCCATGAAGCAAATGACCATTTTTTTTAATGTGGGGGATTGTTGAACAACATATCGGGAGAAATTCACTTCTCTCTTTTTAATAGTGACATGGGATCTTTAATGGTCACCTGAGCAGGCAATCGGGATTTATGTTTAAAGCCTCACCCAAAGGATGGCACTCCAATAATGCACTGTGTTGAAGTGGCACCCTAGACTATAAGCTCAAAGATCCTGGCTATATGAATTTATTCTGTAAATTCTTCTTCTTTTGCAATTCCTCACTTTCTAAATGGCTGTATCACAATAGCAACCTCCAGAATATAGGGCCATTAAAACAATTCTTAAACAATTGTATTAAGACACCTCATTTTTCCTCTCCCCCTTCATCATCCTTTCATTGGGAGAATTGAACATTCTTCTCCAATACAATCACAATGAACTTAGCATCTCCAAATTCTTCCATTACACACTACTCACTCGGCAAACAATTGCAAAAAGAGCCTTTTGAGTATCCAATTAAAAAGTACATTGATCTCTATATACACACACAATCAACTTTGCAAAATTATTCAGGAACTGCATACCTTACCTTAACCAATGAATGGTCTTGCTTGCGACAACGAATTATCACCAGAGGCTCAAGCAGCTGAAACAATCCCTGAAATGGAAATCATTCTTTAGTCAGTAATGCAACAGACTGTAGGATATATTGTGCTTGTCAAAGGGTGTCATTAAGAACTATAAAACATAATGAAATCTGGAGCAGCCAGCACCCACTATTCATCCATTAGCCTAAACAATGAAGGCACGAGAACTTGAGCATCAAATAACAAGTTAAGTAATACACAAAATGAGACAACAGAAAAAGGGGACTTGATGTGACTATATCGCTAATGATTGTTGCGTTAAAAAAAGTTAGCACCCCAAATTTTAGGACCATGACTTTAAAAAGTATACAGAAATAACCTTTAGAGCTGTGGCTATTTTAAGAACTGAGAAACTTTGGATCCCCAAATAAGAACTCAAGAAGCAGACAACCACTTTGCTGTGCTCATGGGATTCAACTATTGTAGTTTGTCAATCATTTTTCCAGCTTTACCTGCAGTATCAGTCCATCCAACAGTGCTCCATATCTGATAGGATCCTTTGCCACCTTACCCAGTCTCTGTCTGGCTTCATGTAACAGTTCCTAGAAACAAACCAAAACTCCATGAGTGATGACACTGGATTCATTTAAAAAGCAGCTTGATGCTGCGATGTGATGCTCAGGTAGGGCGAGCATTCTGAGATCAGATAAACCGACAGGCCTTCTTCATGCAAACTAATCACTTTCTGTGAAGCGCTTTGGGACGTCCTCCCGACGTGAAAAGCGCTATATCAAATGCAAGGATTATTATTATTATCATTAAACACAAAACATTAAAAAGATAAGAGTTCTACATTCTATGGAAGGCAGGCAAAAACATACATTCTACCACTTTGTGATGCCTTAAAGTGAAACAGCAACTTGATGCATGACTTTATTTCACAAGTCACATTTAAAACCTAGCCTAGTATTTCAGTGGAGGAAAAGTAAGAAAAAAGGATCAAAAGCAATTCACTTGTGATTCCAGAACTATTTGTAAAACAGCAGATACTTTCATTGACAAAGGACTTATCAGAATCTACATTTACTCTTGACAAAAAGAACTTTCACGTGTATGCATATGCTGCTATGGTGCATAACTGAATGAAATACTTGTAATCTTCCATCAATGCAATAGAGTTCAGATTTGTGATTCCCATTCTGACCTCTGAAACTGTCACATGGGCAATTATCAAATAGAGGTCAGGCATAAAAACTTGATCACATTACTGTATAGGGTCATAGTTTAAATAGGACACTTTTACAAGCTTTATGAAAGCTCGGAGGAGCCTGACTCTCAAAATTCACCTATCTTTCCAAAAAAGAGAAACACCACTGAATACTGGCTTATACAAGATCCCACAATAGGGCAAACTGAATGAAGCACAGAGGCATATCAAGCATATGATATCTAGATTGTGATGCAAATGGATCCATAAGATAACAATCCTTACTTGTAGCGCCTTATCATGTCTTTGAGACATCTCAAAGCGCTTCACACAATATACTGTAAAGTGTAGTGACTGTGTTTTGTGGGCGAAACTCGGTAGCCAATTGCGCACAGCAGTGTCCCACAGACAATCGTGGATTGAGTGACCATATTATTATTTTTTGGAGGGATTATTACCCCCGGAAAAGCGAACCACCAAGCGGTTCCTACTTACTGCTAGGTAAACAGAGGAATGCGTGTGTGTGTGTGGAGTAAGGAAACTTTCCTACGGTTTTGCCCTGCCCAGGAATCGAATCCGGGTCCTCTCGTTTGCGAGGCGAGTGCTCTAACCCTACGCTACCAGAGTCCACTTAGGGGAAATCATCCTACCCAGAAATTGGGTTGCAGTTTATTTAAAGCATTAGCTCACTCACGGAAATTAGATCATCTCTTGCTTTGAGCACCTTCAATCTCGCCTGGTTCATCAGGTTGGACATTTGACTGAAAGCAAACAAATTAGTTAAATTTAAGGTCGGGTAAGATCCAGCAGATTTTAATGCCCAGCAGGGCCCAAATCTCAATTCACACAAAACAATATTCAGTACAGTAAGTTTTCAAAACCAGTGTTTTTTTAAAAAAAAATTACTCTCTGTAGGTCTCTTTTTTCCTTTCTTTTGTTATGCTAGATCTACAGAAGTTAGTGATTCTTGCTGCCAATATAGCTCAGTAGTTACGTGGTCGATCATCATGTGCAAGTCAGGACTGTTAGAAGCTGTTTTATTGGAGAAGGTATCACTATTTTAATTCAGTCTTTATCTGATGTCAACAGGCACGTTGTTCCCATCAGAAATGACAGGATCATGACCTGGATTGTGTTCCAGTAAAATAATTGTGGCGTACCCATTTCCAACCTAGCCAAAATTACTCTTGTCAGCAAATCTGTGAACTGAACCTTGATCTTCCTTGTGTGCATGACTCAGTAACAAATTCCACAGCATATTTACCCATTTGGATATCAGGAAAGCTCATTTAAGTCCATACTTCGCCTAAAAATATTGAAAAAACTCGAGGAATAATGTAACTCAACAAACAGAAATTTAAAGTGCAGAAAAGATAGAAATGTTTTATTTTCATTATGCAATACTTACATTTTCTTCTGCTGTTCAATTTGTTTTTCTTTCTTTTCATAATATTCCATGATTTTTAATCTTTGGGTTTGTACAAGACGACCCTTTTCAATATTGAATTCTTCTTCTGCCTGTGGAAAAGAAGTCAAGTTAATTAACAACTGATTTTCAGGAAGTTCAAACAAGAAGTGATAGGATGAAAAAATAAAATTCAAAGGAGCATCAGACTATTCACAAGACTGAGTCAACATAGACACCAGCATCAAATTGTGAGTTATAGTGTATAACGAAATGTACATTCAATCCTGAAAATAATTACTTCCACTTATGTAACAATTTCCACATAAAATAAGTGATTTACAAAGCAATTGATTGGAAATAAATGTTATTGGGAAACACAGGATTTAATGTGCCAGCAATGCCCCATAAACAAGAATGAGATAAACAGCAAAATAAATTTGAATTTAAGAGTTAAATTTGGATTAGGAGTGGAATAAGGCAGGACAACTGGGAGAAACTCTCCCATCTATTTGAAATAAAAGTAGGGGATCAGTTTACATAAGGAAGACAGAAGCTGAAATTAACCATCAATTTTGTGATTATCTAGAAATAATGGTAAAAATTGCATATGGAATGTTATGGACACAAACTAAATAAAATATTCTCTATTAAAAATCTCTGTAAAACCAAATATATAAACTGTGTGGCAACAATTTGGGGGAGACTCACTATTTAAATTCCTTTGAATTCTCCTATTAAAACATTTATGGGGCATTAAAGCATTAGCCTTAGTATACTTGGGCTAGAAAGGACTTTAGTGAAAAGAAATTCAACTCAAGATCACAAATTGATAATTCTACATTGGGTGAAGAAGGAATTGGAGATAGACTTTTGGATTTTAGGAACATGTCAGTCAATCTCAAGCATCAATTCCCAGACTCAGTTAGAAAATTGCTACCCTAGCAAGGTACCAGAAGGCAAGCATCTTAGGAACAGTATCTAGGTATGATTCACCACTTTCGTGAGATGGGATAAAGGACTTTTACAAAAATTACACACTTTGAAATGAAAGACAATCACACTTCACATCACGGAGTGCAACCAAACATCCATTATTCTCCCTCCCTAGATCTGATAATATTAATAATCCTTACATTTGGAATAGCACCTTCCACATCGGGAGGATATCTCAAAGCACTTCAAAGGATATGCTGAAAGTAGATGACTGTTTTGTGGGCAAATGCATATGAAGGGATTTAGGTTTTGGTTTCGAAAGTAGAATTTTGCCACTCAACGACTCTGGATATTTTAGAACACCATTACCACATAGCGATTATCATGTCAGAGTAAGTAAACATGAATATGAAGAACAGTGTTCAATTCACTGAATAACTGTATTGGTTGCCCCATGTGATACACTACATGATAATCAGAATTCTGGAAAGAATTGCAAAACTATAACAAAGAGGTGTATCAAATCTTCTATTGAATAATAAAAATAATAATCCTTGCATTTGATATAACGTCTTATCACGTCGCTGAGATATCTCAAAGCGCTTCTCAGATAATACTGTAAAGTGGATTGACTGTATTTTGTGGGCAAAACGCAGCAGCCAATTGCGTCCCACAAACTGTTATGGATTGAGCGACCAATTTTCTTTTTGAAGATATTATTACGCCCAGAAAATGATCTGCCAACCGGCTAACAACCAGGTTCCAACTTACTGCAAGGTAAACAGAGGCATGTGGAATAATTCTTCATAAATGTAAGGATTTATGTTAAGCAGGAAGACGGGTGAGAGTTCTTATTTTGTATTTTGCTGCACAGATCACTTTTGTTTCAGTTCCCTTGTTCTTTTGCAACAACGGAGTTTTGCAAGCAGGATTAAGGAAGGGCCAAGGAGTGAAGAGGAGCAATGAAGCAAGACTTGATCATCTGACCATAAATGAGGAAGAATTTTTTTGCAGTGAGTTGCTAGAATGCAGATTCTCCAAATTTCAAATGTATGTACAACTGGATCCTTTTTAATTTCTGTTCAACTGTCATCGGGATGTATTATCATAAGTATTTCCTTACAAATATCAGATTGGGTCATAATACAGCAGAATTAGAAATAACTTAAAAAATGTAGCTGCCTGCAAATATTGTACCAATAATAGCTTTTTTTAAAGCAATTAATATTACACTACTTGTGATTCTATAACAATTTAACAAGATTCATGATTGTATTCATTAGTTTAGAAAACTATATCCAACAATACATTTTAGAGGGGGAAAGCATTTCATAAAAATGTGTAAAAAAAGGCAAACACACAGATTGGCTCGCAAATTAATAAAAGGCATACGGATGAAGAATAAATTAATGCCTGTAAAATCAAGCCTCAGCACTTCAGGAAAAAAACAATGGGGGGGGGGAGGTAATTGAAATTCAGCCTCAATTGGCACCAAAGGAAAACTGACCTCTTCATGCAGGTTCAGACTAACATCAGCACTTCACGAACCAGGAATTTCTCAGGTTCATTGGTAACACTCTACAATTTCTCTGTCAAGATTGAATATTTCCCTATGTGAGCCCCAGGGAGTGGAAAGGAAAGAATACCTTGAAATTACCTTCTAATGGAGTTCTTCCTTGAGAGTGAAAAGATTCACATCACCATACAACCACTTTGGTTTAGCGACACAGCAACAAGCCACCTTTACATATCAACTTTTTTTTTAAAAAAGTTACCAGTGCCAGAGGAATTGGGAAAGAATTATTTTTTCAATTTATAGCACACTCACCACAAGATTCAATTTACATTATGATCATCATTTACATTATGCATTGTTATTACATTCATAGTGCCATGGGTTCTTTAACATCCACTGGAACTGGCAGAAAGATGTCAGTCTAATGTCTCAATTGTACCTCCAAAAATACATTGTGGTATATGAATGTACAACCTTCTAACTCAAGAGGATACCAACAGAGCCCAGCTGACACTTCCCATGCTATACAAGCATTTGGTTTCTAAATCCAAGTCAACATTACCAGCTTAACACTGATACGTTTTTAGCAACTCACCTTTGCATCTATTTCTTCTGCCTTTTCATTGGCTTCCTGCTCAATGAAGGCCATCATGTGTTTGATCTGCAGAACAGAGGAATAAACAATTCATTCATAAATCTCCATAATCAATGCACTTACTTATTGTGCAAGGAGTGATCTTTGCACGTTGATCATTCTAATGCATTGGTCTCCCTAGCTCTGCTATCCACAAAATCCAACTAATTAGAACTCCACCACTCATATACTCACCCGCTCTCAACACCGTACCCCATCAAACCAACCCTCGCCAGGCTCCACTGGATCCCTATCACAGAACCGATCGAATTCAAGATCCTCACACTTGTCAACAAATCTCATCATGCACTGGCACCTCTCTACCTCTCCGAACTGTTTACACCCCACTCCACCACCTCCACTCGGCTGATTCTGGTCTCCTGCTTGTCCCTTGTCCCCTCCACCTTTCAGACCATTATTTCATAATATATGATGTGACATGCAAATAATGTTTGAGTCTGAACTGTGCAACATCTTCCAGGATTTTAGAAAATGGATGAGGAATTTGGCACGATCATGTACAGCCAGATTTAACTACAGTATACAATGAAAACAGTTTGGGTGTTACAATATAGTATCTTTGGAATGCTATGTTCTGATTTTTTTTAAAAAGACTTAACTACTAATATATTTCTTCCCTCCCCCTCCCACCAAGGTATTGAGAAACAGTATTGAACTAGCTTCCACTGTGTTAACCCAGTAAGCCTCCCACGCCAGAATAGACAAGTCTCCAAGTACCTAGAACCAGGTATTGCAGCTCAGACCAGATAACAGCAGCATCGCAGGTCACTTTTGCTTACTGACAACAATGACCAGAGTAAAGTCATAACAGGAATGCTGGACTCTAGCTTGGTTAAAAACATCGAGTCTTCACAACAAATTAAAAAGATAGAAAGGAAAATGTTCATGCAAAATATGTGCTTGATGGGAAGTCTCACAAGTAAAATTTTTAAAAATCATGAAATTAAATTTATTTTAAATGTAAAGTAGAGGCAGTTTTGATACCATCTTGTAAGTCAGCTATTCATCTTTGATCTCATCTTTTTGCTGTTTGTTTTTAATTTGTTCTTGTTGCTGACCTCATCTGAACAAGTAACATAAATAGGTGAAACATTAAATATTTTACAGACAAAAATACCCTCCGGGTGCAGTCAGGGTCATAAATGGCTTATAGATAAATCATATTTGGCTCAGAAAGAAAACTTGGTGCCCCCCACTCAGACTTAATTTCTTGGGGAAAGAAAATTGTCACCATTGCCAGGATTCACAGCTTCCCAAATGCAGAATAAATTTATATCAGGGATCATATACACAAACAGGCTCTTGCTCATCTGCAAAAAAAATACAATACGTACAATCTGTATTTCAGGTGCCATCATAGTTTGCACAAACAGTGCCTTTAGATACAAAGGCATGAACAATAATTCAACATTTGACCGCAACTTTTTTTTTAAAAATGAACAATTTAAGGTAGGAGCCCGAATGTTGGGAATAAAATTACCAAGAGGATGTCAGTTTCCAGAGTTTTGCCAACACGCCCATTGCAAAAAATCTACCAGGGGGCAAAATCAGTGGGGGAGGGGTGGGATAAAAAAAATCATTAACTGATCAATATATTGCAAAGGGACCAATAATGAATGAATGACCTTTGCATTTGCTACAGCGCCTTCGGTGAGAAGCCTCACAGAGAGCTTTGGCGGAATATATTGGCCAAGTGGATTGACTGTGTGTATTTTGTGGGCGACATCGCCCTCCCCTCAGCTCTGGCCCCCGCTCTGCAGACGGCGATGCGCGTTTGCAGCCATTGCTCCCTAATAAACGACGTTAAAAACCATCGTTTATTATTTTTTTTTCTCGACCCCCAAAAAACAAAAAAAACACGAATGATTTCGATCACGCCTCGGTCGTAGAAAAAAGCACCAAAGCTCTGTGCTCGGCCTCGGCTAAACGCAGTATGTTTTGACGCCTTCTCTCTCTCCTCTCTCCCTCCCTCAGCCCATCCACTCCATCCTCTCCACGGAGAGGGAAGGGAAGTGGGGCAATGCCGAGCTCGTTCCTCACCTGCTTCTGGACGTCGGCATCGCTGAGCGCCATCGTGGCCGACGAGCGAACTGGACGGTGGGGATGCGAGACGAACCGGGAGAAGGAAAGGGGATAATGAAGCCCGGGCAGTGCTCGGCTAACGCTTCCTTTTCCTCTCTCCTCTGACGACGGGCCCTCAGCTGATAGACTCTCTCTCTCACCCACACACACACACAGAGCTCAGAGGACGGCCTTCGCTTAGCGACGATCACCTGACCGGAATCGGGAGGGGAGGACGAGCGTACGCAGCGCACGCAATGGCGGGGGGGGAGAGGTCACCTAATCCCTGCAAACACCGCCCTCTCTGCCCCTTCTCAGGCGAGTTTCAAGCGAAATGCATAATGGGGGGTGGATGTAAATGGCGGCGTTGCCGCTGTGTCCTGTTTTGTCGGGTTATGGTCGAGCCCGCCCTAAGGGGGAGGAGGAGAGAGAGAGAGAGAGAGTGGGGGGGAGAGACGGGAAGTATATTTGACGGTTTAACGTCCTCCACGTTTCAAAATTTTGAATCGGTGGCTGTTTGGTGCAGGCGGTTGGGCGTCGTTCACTGTTTGGAGCTTTCCTGAACTTTGGATGAGGGTGTGTGTGTGGACAATATATATATATATATATATATATATGTCAAATAAAATTTGGGATGAAGACATCACAGGGTTTTGCCAGAAATTAAAATACTGTACATTTTTTTTGTTGCCCACAAAGCCCAGTGGTTAGAGCACTCGCCTGGCAAGTGAGAGAGACCTGGGTTTGATTCGTGACAGGGCGAAACGTTGGGCAAGTTTCCTTACGCCACGCGCACGCCCGCTTACCTAAGTAGGAGCCTGGTTGTTTTTCGTTGATCGTTTTTCCCGGGGGTCATAATTCCTTCAAAAAAAACAGTTATAATAATAAATTGGTCACTTCAATCCATGACGTTGTGGGATACTGCTGTGCGCAATTGGCTGCTGTGTTTCGTCCACAACATGTACCGTCAATTCACTTTACAGTATATTCTGTGAAGCGCTTTGAGGCGTCTCGAAGATGTGATAAGGCGCTATATCAAATGCAAGGGTTATTATTTATTATTATAAAGTCCACCCAAAAAAATACCCTAATATAATGCGTCACCTGCTATGGGGGGTAGCAGTAAAATAAGTCAGCGCTTTTGGAACTGTGTATAAAAAAAATATTCAAACCGGGCATAAGGAAGCAACAAAACGTTTTGCAAATTTAAATTAAAGCTTTTAAAATGTCCAAAGCCTTTTTGTAGACACAAAACACATTGGGCAACATTAGTTGATTGGACAGCGTGGTGGAGCCAGTGGCTGTTGCGTTGACCTCTGACCGCCTCTCTTCCCCTCTCCGTGGTCGATTGACTTTATATTAAAAAAAATGAAGTCTTTACTCATTTATAATAGATTATAGATATTTGGTACAACACAAAACACATTTCTTTATCTGTATCCGTCAACAAACATTGCATTCCTTTCGGGCCCTCCTTGGCGGTCGATTGACTCTATTTTTTTCCCCCAAAAAATATATATTTATTTGTGGCTGTATATTTACGCTCGTGTCGGAGGACATTATCAAACTCGTTAAGAGGGGGAGGAAAAAAGACGCAACATGTTACAGCCTTACTCCGCGGTCGATTTGACTCCGACTCCGGCCGAACGGCCGAGTTCAGAGCCTTTCGTTCCATCTACCACCAGCCACCCTTTGATTTAAGCTGAAGAAGAAGAATATTAAAAAAAAAGGGGGCGGTCTGAAACTTGAAGGGACGGTTCACGAAAACGTGGAGGGTTTTTTTTAATCAAAAGTTGAGGAGAAATTGAGGAAGGAAGGCAGGCGGTGTGCCCTCGTGTTGGTGAGGGAGGCGCGGTCTCCGCCGCTAAAGATGGCGCCCGTCTAAATAAGGAATTTGTACCGCTGCAACTGTGACTGAACCGGCACCACACTAAGTCCCCCAAAAGTACAGCACCACACAGTAAGTCTGTTAGAATAACGGCGGAGGTTATTACACGATGGAGTGAGTGGTGGTGGGGAGGAAGAGGAGGAAGCGGTAGAGAGAGAGAGAGTGAAAAAATCACTTCACATTAAGTCCTAATGTGACGGGGACGTTGCTTTAAATTGGCGCGTCAATTGAATTCGCTGTGATTTGCGAATTGTCTTTGCCGAGGAAATTTGTGGGCGAGAGGAAAGAAAGAAAGAGGAAGAGGGGAGAGAGAGCTTCTGACTTGAGATCTCTCCCGAGTCATTGACGTGGTTGTGATGTGCTTTAAATGGGAGTTGAAATGAGGTGTTAACCAGCGAAACGTTCCCACAGGGAGAGAGAGAGAGAGGGGGGTGGAAGAAATAAATAAATAGGATAGAAAAGGTTGTGCTTAATTCTTGTTGACACAGACCTTGCCTTTTTTATGTGTGTGTGTGTGTATATATATATATAATATATATATATCAAAACCCTTTCTGCAATGCTGTTACTGCCGCACGGATGAGGTAATCGCAGTGCGAGGGCTTTTGATACGCGAACACGCGAACACTGAATTAATTGTGAATACTGGACAGTGCAACAACCGGCGCCGATGACCCCCCTTTTTTCCCCCCATTCAATAATTATTACGATTATTATTACGATGATTAATAAATGATAATAATGTCGTCCCCCCTTCCCCTCCCCCCCCTCCCCTCCCCACGCACAACGGGCGCTTGGCTTCGTGCGGTCGCGGGTACAAACAAAAGGACGCGGTGACTTTGTTTTCCTGTCGTGCCATTTTTTTTCTTCCTTAGAGAAGCGCTTCGGGGGGTGGGGTGAGGGGGTGGGGGGGTGGTGGGGTGGGGGCGCATCTGTTTGGGTTTTAAATATAACCGTATTCATTCATGGGAGCGATTTGATATGACTGAGGCACCGTGGATCGGAAATTCTGTTTGTGATCTGTGCCCTTTATCACCAGCTTCCTGTTACCGTTTGCCCTTGGTGTGGGGAGGGCCCCGCCAGCGCTTGTCACACACTGGGGTAAATATTTTCTTTCTGTAATTAAAATTAAAAAAAAACTATTCTGTTATTACGGCGTTTGCTCAACGATAAGGTACAAAGGTTTGGGCGGTTTACACGGCGTTAACTCGTCGATGACTTAGTGAGTTGCTTTGCCCTTTTTCTCCAGCTTTGGTCTCGTCTTGTGTTGTGTTTGCAATCGACTGCGGCATTTACGGTTTCTTCAATTGATTTTTTTTAAAAAAAACGATTTTATGTTTATTCAGGATATCGTCCCCCCACACACACACAGTTGCGTCTTTTGACCAACAAGCGATTGACTGCAAAGTGAAATGGCTACCGCTGTACCTGAAGGTTTTCGCTATGAGACCAGATATGTCGTGTTGAACTATCTGGGGCTGGTCTCGAAACAAAAGGTTCCTGGGGCCACAGGCGAGGGTAAGCTGTCAGTGTGCTTAAGACTTTTATCATTTCTGTTTCGTGGATTATTAAATGCTACAGTTATCAATAACGTGTGCAGTTATTTGTAAACCTCCAATTTAGTTCTCAAAAAAAAATACACTTTAAATTGATGCCATCTGAAAGTTTGGGCAAATTGTTTCGAGTCAACCCTAACGTTGTGATTAAATATTAAGTAGTGAATTCCTAAAGTGCTTTTGAAACTTTTTTTTTTGGGCGGGGGGGTTAAAAGTTCCTTTTTTTTTGAAAAAAAACACATAATTAAACTAAGCGTGATTTTGGAAAATTACTGCAGAGCTCTTATTATCTTGCTGTTTGTAATTGTGCAAACTTGTCTCCTCGTTTTCTACATGATCTGTTATGCGTTCTGGCAGCATGTCACAAGCTTTCAGTGTAAATCTGTGTTGCTTTGAGAGTGCTTTGGAATGGAATTCCAAATGATTTTAAACAGTATTACAGATAGGCTGATAATAAGTCATGTTATTTTTAGAAAATGTGACAACATAATCTAAATACGTGGAATACTGAACAAGCAGTATGAAAAAGTGGAGCATTATTTTGCTGTTCTTGCATGCTTGAATAGAGAGCTTTAATCGAGCAGTATAAAATCAGTGATTTGCTGACTGTGCTTTTACAGGATCACTGCCAACAGAAGTGTCTCCTTTGGATAAAGATGTAGCAGAGAAAGTTAATGCAGACATAGAAGAAGAACTCAAACTTCTGCATGATGAGATTAATAAAGGTTGGTTTGAACGTTAAAACTCTTCTAGTCTGTATTGCATGCAGGATGTTCATCAGCTTCACTGCCTCCGTACAATAGAAAACTTAATGCAGTTTCTATTGCAATTTGCAAGAATGGTCTCTTTATCTGTTCAAGTATGTAGGACTAAAACACAGTGCTGTTCTTGTGATAACAAAGTTAGATTGTGGTATGTTGCTACTTCAACTACAGTAATAGAACAAAAAACAAGCCTACGTATGCTGGATCACATGCAAAGTGAAGACAAAGCAAAACATTTTGAACCTATATTCTGCATTTAAACTTCAACAAAAAAATTACCTTTTATTTAATGTCTTTCACATCAGGAAGACATATCAAAGCATCTAAACTTCAGTAGTAGTAAGATCCTGTTCACAAGAAAATTCACTTATACAAATAAACATTCTAAGCTTTGTAATAATCTTTGTAATAATCATTATTGCTTCCATTAACAAGGCATTCTTTCTTGAATTACTTAATATTTGATTTGTAGTTAGCTGTGCTCTAACTTAACATTGTTATTTTAGATGGTATGATTTTTAGTTTACTATTACTTTACTGTAATGTAAATTACTGGTGTCTAGCTTCTGTAGTGTATTATTTTGAAATAAATCTCCAACACTCTTATAATATTGATTGCAAAATTGCCTATTGATATGAATGTAGTAGCTGCCTTCCGTGATTATATTTTGCCAAAAGGAAAATGAGGTGTAGAGTGGCACAATGTCTTGTACAATGATCCTTGATTATTCACAGTCATTGCAGGAACCTTCTCTTCATCCACCACAGCAACTTGCATTTATATAGTGCAGCTCATGAAGGATAATGTCTCAGAGAGCTTTACAAGGATAGGGTCGGACACCTAGCAAGGGAAGGGGGGAAGGGAATGGCTGTTGGTGTATTTGAAGAGCCATGTTTTAAGATGTGAAAGAGAGGGATGAAAAATGGCATAAATAATATTGCCTTAGTCAAGCTAATAAGGACAGAATTAGTTCTCCACTGTTGCTTGGTAAAGAACATTTTGTGGGGAGAATGAGAGTTAGGGTTACAATATTCTGTTTGTCACATTCGCAAGCTTTCAATTTAATATATACAATGTGGTGTGTGTGAGATTAGAATAGAGATGCTTTACTTTTTTAATATAAATATTTTTGGTTTTTTCTTTGATTATAGCAGTCTTAATGTATTAAACTGACTTTGCTTTGCTTTTTTTCCCACTCTCTTCCCTCCTAGCTTTTACCAGTACAGGGTTTGAGTGCCATACATCTCCTATATTTAGTCCAGCAAATCCAGAAAGTTCAATAGAAGACTGCTTGGCCCATCTTGGAGACAAAGTATATCAGGAGCTAGATGTGCAACTGCAGACAGCACTCCTAACCATTCTTAACTCGTGAGTTATGGATTCAAAAGTTGCTCTGTGCAATATCTTAATTAGATGTCAAAAAAGACATATCAAGTACAGTATTTAATTGTGTGTGAAAGGGCACACATGGAACATCTTTCTGCCATGCTCTGTGGTGTTGGCACGTGCCTTTTTTAACTCTTTATTCTATCTCATGCTCATAATTCCCATGTTATCCATCCTCCACAAGCAGTTCTCCAAGGTGGTCACCCACACTCGAGTAAGAACCCTTTCTTTAAGTGGTAAATAGAGGCACCTGCATTCCGCTCATCCTTTCAGGTCATAAATGACACTGGAATGGTTGAGGGCAGGTTGAAGTTACTTTTCCCCCCACAATGGGATTTTAGAACGTGGAATGCCTTTATACAAGTGACTAATTAAGCTATCGTGATAACATTTAAAAGGAAATTGGATAAATATTTGAAGGAAAACAATATAAAATTACAGTATTGTGTGTTAGTCTGGCTCGGTGGTAGCATTGTCATTTCTGAGTCAGAAGGTTATGTGTTCAAGTCCAATGTCAGCATCTGGAGTCACATAGTCTAAGATAACACTTCAATGCAGTGCTGGGGCTGAGACGTTAAACCAAGGTGCGAATTGCATGTTCAGGTAGAAGTTAAAGATCCAATGGCACTATTCGAAAAGAGAAGGGAATTTCCAAGTGTGCTGGTGTGCTGGCGACAATCCCCCAAATAAAATTGGTCCCTCACTCCATGGCCATTTGTGGAAAATTGTTGTGCGCAATTGGCTGCTGTGTTTCGCTCACAAGATATACAGTCAAACCAGTATATCATATTTAAGCACTATGAGACATCACAACAAAGTGATAAGGTGCTACATCAAATGCAAGGTATATTATTGTTAAGTAAAAGGGCAGAGGGAAAGGGCAAGATATTGTAAATCTTATTGCTCCAATGGAGGACTGGCACCCACAATGGTTTGATGGGCCTGTCCTGTAATTTCTATGATGCTGTGCAATGAGAAAGTTGAAATAGTCACTTGTACATAAGGTATTTGTTTGTCGCAAAACAATGATTTAATTCTTTGTGCAATTAGTTGAATGGGAGCAGTATTCGGAGCCTATGTTGTATTTTGATGCAGTTACAGCTTCAGATTTTCCCTGGCTATTTCACTAATTAAGTGATTAAGTAACCATCTTTCAAAAACTTTCTTTTTAACCATCTGTTTTCTATGGCAGGGTAGCATTAGCCATTCTGTAGGTTACTGCAAATGCTGCAAACTGTAAGCTTTGATAATTGTAATTTTATAGAAATGGGATTTAGAGCATCTTGAATTGTGGTGGGGTTGAGATTTTTTAGAAAGTAATGCTAGGAATTTTCTAGCCCACAAACCTTTTTTGAAAAATAACATTTTAACAAGGTTTCTTTGAAACATCTGCAGAGCTTCTGGGCAAAACTCCCTGTTAAACAATGTGATTTTCATAAACGGTGATGGCATTTATAACTGCTTCATGTTCTTAACATCGCTTTTAAGAACCTGCCATGGCCTGATTGCGTAATCCACACATGGTGTTTGTATGCAATTTTCTTTTCATTTGAAGAACAGGACAAATCTAAAATTAAATCTAAAAAAAACCATTGACGCAAATCCATCAAAATCTGATCATCTCGGACGTAATCCCTTGCTCTACAAAATGTAGTCATGACCATCTGTTTGAGCACTATTTTGGCTGTTTAGAATGGCAATTGGACAGTGCTCAGTGCTTGAGACCCTCAGCACGTAAAAATCCTAGGTCTGTCTTTTCAAACCTGAGCTCCCTCATTTGATTCTATAAACAAGACATGTATTCTCCTGCAGTCACTGCTTCCTGGTTCTTCTCACTATGTTTGAATATAATGCTACAAACTGTTGGTGAAAATTGTATAGATATTGCCAGTTTATTAATGAACCTCCATTACAGGAGTCAAAGAATAGTGAGTGCCTACTTTGGGGCAAAGGCCACATTGTTATTTTATGTTAGAATGCTACATTGCTTCTGAAACCAAATGCAAAGCTTTAATGGACAAAGTTATTAGTGATATCTAAGCACTTTCATGTTAGAATTGCTGTCTTCTTCCAGGGTCCACCAGATGATCTACAGTAATTTTCAAGTAGATTTTTTTAAATTAAAAAGATATCCAGAATATAATTTGGTAACTTGCACAACATGTGTACACTCAGTGAGCAAACCTTTAGTATGAAGTATGCAATCTGTTCTAATTAACTCTATGGATAGAAGTTCTAGATATAATTTTGAATATTGACTCTAGTTCTGTTGCTGGGGCTTGTTTGCAACATGGCATGGGTGATTAAACGTTGAACAGTATGATTGGAGAGCACAGATGTGCTACCTTGATTAGTCAAGCCCTTTATAACCTGCAGTACAATACTGAACATGGACATATGGAACCAATTCTTAAACCCTATGTTGTAAAGGGGCATGATGAAATGGCTGCAACTGAGTTATCAAGTAACCACTCATATCCCTCCCTATCTGCAGAAAGTGCAATTAAAATTATTCCCTGCGCATGTGCAAGAATCACAATTGATTTCTATATGAAGAAATGTTAGTGGGACTTCATGCGCATGCATAGTGTGTAAGAAGTGAAGCTAGTGGTTACCTGACGACCCAGAAGTAAACCATTTTTTTGTGGCGACGGGATTTGAATGGTTTTGATTTTCAAATCAGAATATGTTGGGGTCTGCAACCCATTCTCGTTGTAAGCAAACCTGTATCTGTGTTAATTGCAAGAAGTATAGTTTTAGAAACAACTGCCATTCTATATAAGGAGCATTCAGAAATCCTATTGTATTTGTTTGCCATATTTCTCAATGCTATGTACTATGGGAGTTTGGTTTTATAACTGATTGGTATTCATTTGCAAGAAAGTTTTTATTATTTACCCAGTGTGAGCAGTTAATCTTGTTTTTTTTAGCATTGTTGATGCATGTAGAATTAGATGCTTTAATAGGCTGGGCTTATATGTGAAATTTTCACTTGGTGTCCACCTCCACCGTAGGGCAAAACCTACAGCTCCATTTATAATTATTGGTCTGTCAGTGAGTAATTGAATGCCCCAAAGCAGTATGTTTCAAACCAATTATCAAAATGACTGAAAAGTGAAAACTTATAAGAGTTTATTCACCCTTGAGAAGGTCAAATTTTAGCATAACTGACCTGCAGATTGCTTGAAATTAATCTGTTGTCTTGTGAAATATTAATTTTACTTAGCATGTTATAGCAGAAAGAAGGATCAAACTTCTATATTTTTTAAAGTAATCTTCCTCCTTTGTGCTTTTTTTTAAAAGTGGAAAGTTTACAGGGTGGTGAAGTAGTTGGTACAGACAACATTTTTTTTCAGTTATAGACCTGTGATCAGTAACTTGCTGTGCGGCTTCCTGGAGATTTAAAGATTACAGATTGAAAGTGTTTTTTGTTTGATTATTGGTTGCTCACTTCAAAATACTATATTCTTTAATAATTAGAATGGAGAGGAGAAGGGAAATGGAAAGGACACTTTGAACACTACTAACTTGTCCAGTTAATAACTTTTTTTGAAAAAAAGATTTTTAACTGAAAAACATGATGGCCTTCATCCTCTTGGACCGAATGTACCTTTCTGAAAGGGACAGCACTTTCAACTGTTCACTGGTCCAGCTTGCTCGTTATTGGGTGCCAGAAAGGGACGAATAGTAAATAGATCATTAGAAATAAATACAGTGTGGGTTCTTAAGAGCAATCCTCAATTGTCATTTTTCAAAATTACTTCCTTTTAATGTCTGCGCAGAAATATTTAAACTCAAACATAGACGGTTATGCAGATAGCCTGGAAGGTTATGCTGATAGGCTTAGCTGAGGAAGGGCAGGAGAAGGCTCATTTGGAGCATAAACGTCGGCATAGACCAGTTTGGCTATGGCTTGTTTCTGTGCTGTATATTCTATGTAATTCTATGCCAAATTTTTACTTTTTAAAAATATATTTGTTTACGAACTTGCTATGGACATCAATTACAGACTGCACTGAGAGATTTTGACAGGCTTTGTAAAGATGCATGTTTTTCTGCTCTTTGCAAGGGAGAGTGGGGTTATACACATTAATTTCCATTGTAATTGTCATTGAGCTGGTACGTACAATATTTAAATCTCGTTGTGTTATATATTTGGTTAATTTGTAGCTGGACTACAAAGTAGAATGCCTGGTGGGGAGCTGAGTTGAAGGTGGGCTGATGGTGAAATATGTGCTGGGCTGACTTCTTATTTATTGTCAGCTGACAGCAGTTGGTTGGAAGTTTGTCGTCTGACTTACTTAATAGTATTGTGAGTTGGGTGGAGTGGAAAATAAATAAAGCAAGTAATCCTATCTTGGAGAACTGACAGAAGAAGGAACTTCAGTGAATGGAATGAAGTTTGTTAATAAACTCGTATTAGGTCATCACATTCAGGAAAATAAATGGTTTTGTAGTGAAATGGAGAAACACTACATGTAATGATTGCAAATCTATTTATCTTAAGTAGAAAAAAATGTAAAGTAAATTTTTTTAAAAATGATAAGTCACTGCATCGAATCGATCCATTTTCACTGGTCTTGTATTCTGTCTTAAAAGCATTGCTGGAGAAGAGAGGAATGCAGGAGCTAGAAATAGACTCAAGTTAGCATTCATTTGCAAACAATGTCAGAAACATCTTGTAGAGTATTGAAAATGATCTAGATGTCATATATTGTAACAACATATAAGAAGTTGAAATTTGTACAGTTGTTAATAACTTGTTCTTTGATTGTTGTGCACCTATATATATATAAATGATTATTTTTACTAAATTGACTTTTTTGTTGAGTTAATTTTGCAAATGTGTGATAAGGTCTAGGTAAACAATTTAATTCTACGGTGCCTAAATGAGAGAAAAAATCTTTACGTGGATGAACTAGAAAATAAGAATTTGATTATTACACAAAGTTCTGCTTTGTTCAGAAAAGTGCCTAAAATGATTTTAGTACTGTCATCAACTTGTCAGGGTGACAGTGGACCTCTCCCACCATCTTCATTTTGTTTCCACAAACGGCTTTTCCTCCAGCCCCCGCACCGTCTTGTGTGGTATCCCTCAGGGCTCTGTCCTCGGTCCCCTCCTCTTCACCCTCTATATGCACCTCCTTGGTGACATCATCCGCAAACATGGGGTTAACTTCCACATGTATGGGGATGACACCCAACTCTACCTTTCTTCTTCTACCCTCAACTCCACGACCACCGATGTCCTGACAGCCTGCCTGTCTGACATCGAGTCCTGGACGAGAGACAACTTTCTCCAGCTCAACGTGCGCAAAACTGAGGCCCTCCTGATTGGCTCTCGTCAGCGCCTCCGCACCTCAGGCACTGACAGCATCAGCATCCAAGGCTGCACTCTCCACCTCTCAAAGCCAGTCAGGAAACTCAGCGTTCTGTTCAACCCTGAGCTGCCCTTTCTTCCTCATATCCGCGCCACAACTGGCATCGCCTTCCATCACCTCCGGAATATCGCCAGACTACGGCACTACTTCACCCCTCACACTGCTGAAACTCTGGTCCACGCCTTTATCACCTTAAGGCTGGACTATGGGAACTCTCTCCTCGCCGGCCTTCCCGGCACCTCCCTCCACAAGCTGCAGGTCATTCAGAACTCTGCAGCTCGTGTACTGTCCCGCACCAGGCTTCGCGACCACATCACTCCCACCCTCGCTCGCCTCCACTGGCTCCCCAGCCCCCAGAGGATCGAATTCAAGATCCTCATCCTCACCTACAAGGCCATTCACGGCCTTGCTCCCTCCTACCTCTCCGACCTACTATCCCCCTAGTTACCTGCCCGTACCCTCCGTTCCTCTGGCTCCGGTCTGCTCCACATCCCCCGCCCTAACCGCCGTACCATCGGTGGTCGGGCCTTCAGCCTCTCAGCCCCCAGGCTCTGGAACTGCATCCCCCAGTGCCTTCGCCTTGCTTCCTCCCTTTCCTCCTTCAAGGCCGGTCTCAAGACCTTTCTCTTCGACCGTGTTGTTGTTGTCGCATCAACTTACCACCTGTATAACATTTTTCACGCAGATGACAACTAGAAGCACTTTACTAAGTTGGTGTGGATCACCCCAAAAGGGGAGTGTTAAGGTTCTTGATTGAAAGTCTTTTCTAGATAGATTTTAGGAGGATTTTAAAGGTTTAGGAAAGAGTTTGCAACAGCTGGACCTCTTATCTTCTAAAATGCTGTACAACGTTACATACCATATTACTAGGGAGGAGAGTAAGAGGTTGGGTGCGGGTGTGAATTTTCCAGCAACCTGATACGATTGGGAGTTAGAATACAGTACATTGTCTTGTGTGTAGGTTGGATTTTCTGAAATTTTCTGCAAACAGAATTTGGTTGAGTAGGTCAGTGGACACGAATGGTGTTCCTAGAATAGAGATTTGAGAGAAAGCATCAGATGTTAGTCTGAACAAAACACAAAATACTGCAGATGCTGGAATCTAAAGCAAAAACAGATGGGTCAACATTTCGGGTCCATGACCCACTTTCCTTTCTCCATAGATGCTGCTTGACCTGCTGAGTTTTCCCAGCTCTCTCAGATGTTAGTCTGACATGGATCCAAGTCAACAGCAAATGATAATAATAATCCTTGCATTTGATATAGATATTGAGTCTATATTTTGTGGGTGAAACATTGGGTAACTGCTTCCCTTTAGTCAATGTCTGTACAGAAATATTTCAATAAACTTGTGTGTTTTTGAGATGAATATTCCATAATTGTGTGTACAGTAAAACTCGCATAAGTCTTATCTTTATGAATCATATAATTGCCTAAGTCGTACATTCACCCGAATCCCATTCAGTTTCCTATTAAAACCACGTATATTTCTTTGCACCACTTCTATTAATCCCCTCCTAACTCGTAAAGCCACTCCCTACACTCCAATACTCGGTATTTACCGGCTGCATTGAGTTGTGGGAAATGATGTGCTGACTCGTGCACTTACTGGCCGGGCACATTGAATCGCGGGGAAACGCAGTCTCGATGCACAGAAGAACTTAATTTCCTGCTATTCAATACAATTCAAATGCTTGCCAGTAAGTGCACAAGCAGCAACGGGACAATCATGGAAAATTATCTTTTCCCTGTCACCACATGCACATTTACAGGCTGCCTGGAATTATAAATGCACAGTGTAGATTATTGATTAACTCAGATTTTATGTGACTTGTACAGTTTGTCTGTAACTCGGACTGCGGGTAAGTCATATTAAATGTTATGGTCCCGACTGATATGACTAATGTGAGTTTTACTGTACTGTAAATCTGTTTTCAGTGTATATCAAATAAGTTTGTTTCCCATGACTGACATTTTGCAGATATAGGAACCTTTTACGGAGCATTTAGTTTGCTCCTGCAATCGGATAAAGAGCAGGGCATTAGTGGTCGTGCTGATGGTACCCTTACTCTCTCTTTGCATAGTCACATGTGCTAGATCATCATGTGGTGCAATTCATATCTTAAATTTTGAATTACTTTGCAGAGTATTCTTTGCTGGAACTGGGACTTAAGTAAAAAGAAAGGTAGTGGAGGCAAAGGGCAATGGTTACTTTAGGCCAAGAAACTGGACTCATTTTTTTAAAAAAGCTTGATACTTTGATGGGAGGACTTGAGCGTGGATGTTCTGGAAGGATGAGATCAAAAGGTTTACTTCATCCGAACCAATCTTGTGATTGCTAGCCAACTTCACCTTTGTGACCTTTCCTGCGGGTTCGAGCATTGAATCCAAATTCCCAGAATGTAGTGTGCATTGACCCATCTGTCAGTTTTAAATTTTCCACTGTATAATATCAGGCAAATAATGCCCATATTTTGAATTTGAGCTAACTTTAAAAATCTGCCATAGAATGAACTGGATGTGTGCGGAATTGTCAACAATAAGCATAGGTTACAGTGATTATTTTTTAGCAGACCTACAAAACCAATTAATAGGTATTCTGTTTGAATACTTTGTTTTTGTGAAGCCTATGTAGTAACTGTGTAGTAAAATATGAGAATAATTCATTTCTTAAATTTTGAATTACTTGCATTTGGATTTTTCTTTTTTATTATTTTTGCAGGCCCCTCCAGTATGAGGTTTACAAAGAGCAGATATGTCAAGCTGCCAGCCACACAACTGGATGGAATAAGGTAAGACATTGGCCTTGGTTCACCTTCCAACCCTCTCTGTCCTCCACCCTTCCTGATCCGAACCCCCACCCCCCGCTCGGGTGCTAATGACACTGACTGGTTGGAGCCTTGGGTCTTTCTCCCGACTTGAAAGGCGCCTTACAAATGTAATTTTGTATTGTATCAAGTGAATGAACAATTTTTAGCTGGGAACCTTCTGAACCAGAGGCGAGAGTACTATCAACTGAAACGGTGCCGGGGCTAGAGGAGAAGCTATTGTGTAGATGAAGTGGAGACGATGTGAGAGGTAGGATCTGAACCATTCAAGGACAGAACCATGAAGATTAAGAAGAGGTGGTGGAGGAGGATAGAGTGGTCAATGGTACTGAAGGTGGCAGGGAAGTCAAAGGGGATGAGGAGGCAGAAGGAGCCCTGGTCACAGGTGGACAAAATGTCATTTGTCACTCTGATCAAAGCGGTTTCTGTGATGAGGGCGGCACGGAAACCCAATTGGAGGAGTTCGTGAAGGGAGTGGCGGGAAAAGGAGCAAAGCTGGAAAGCAAATGCTGAGATTATCTCTGATTATGTGGTGCCAATGCTTAATTGGGAATTGAGCCACTTTCAAGTCCTGCCAATGAGGGTCCAAGTCCTACTAAGAACATTTAACTTGGTAGCTGATTAAACTAGGACCCTTTAAGTCTTTTATACAGTAGATTAATTTCACACACAGTGTGCACTGAACCACTGGAGAACTCTGTTTTTGAATTTTGATGTGACTGTTGTGCAATAACTACATCACATGTCCACTCCTTATATAACTAATGGAAATCGTATGCTAGCCAGGAAATTGATACTGGAGGCAATACTGAATTTGTCTTTGGTCTTTTTCAGACAGTGTCTGTCTGTGTCACTACCCGGATTGTTTTAGTCGAATTCGCTTCCTTGTGGTAGGAAGGAGCTGCAGAAGACAAAGATTTTTTTACCCCTTTTTTNAAATTGAAGACAAGAAACATGCATCTTAATTCCCTTCAATAGCGTACAATGCAATACAAAATTAAATTTGTATAACAATGACTTTTTAACAAAAATTGTGTACTTTTTTTAGGTGTCAGTGTGGCACAGTTGCTAGCTCTCACACCTTTAAGTCAGAAAGGTGTGGGTTCAATCCTCATGCCAGGATTTGAAATTCATAAATATAGGCTGATGCTCCAGTGCAGTGGTGGGGGTGTGCTGCATTGTTAGAGGTTCTGTTCTTGATGTGAGACTAAGGTCCTGTCTGCCTGTTAAGGTGGATATGGCAAACTTTAAAAAGAAAAGGGAGATTTTCCCGGTGTTATGATCAACAATCCCCCAAATAAAATTGGTTACTCATTTTATGATTATTTGTGGGACATTGCTCTGTGCAAATTGGCTGTCGCATTTGCCTGCAAAATACAGCCACTACACTTCACAATAAATCCTATGAAATACTTTGAGACGTCCTCCCAATGTGAAAGGCACTACATCAAATGCAAGTATGATTTTTAAGATTAACTGCTCGTGAATGTCACTGAATTCCAATCTCATCAGAAGAAGATTGTGATCTTGTACTCAACTAACTCCTTTGAAGCTAACTGAACAACTTGCTCAGTAATTGACTGGAATCGGAAGCTGATGTGCTGAATTTAAAACCTAAGAAAATACAGAATGAGAAAAGGGATTTGAACTCCCATCAAGTGTGCTCTTTCCATAGCCTATACTTCAATCTATAGTCAGCGAGTAAATTGCCAGTAAATTATGACTTAAAAGTGGGTGGAGGACAGAGAACTACATCTGAGAACCAGTGCTATTGGTTTGCTCCTTTAAATGTGTAGCTGAACTGAACTTTTAATTTTATAGGTTCTGGTTTCCCTGGTGTTACTGCAGCAGCTACTGAAAGTGTTGAGCAGACGGGGAGAGCAACCATTGAAAGCACTACTGCATTTTGGTGTGAAATACATTGAAGAGTTTGAAGCTGATTATATCATCCAACAAGGAGGATGGGTAGGTCCTTATAATTCCAATTTTAGAAACGTAAGGATTGCTAATTTTATGTTTTGGTGGGTCATGTTGAACAATATCAATACTGAGGCACATGTGCACTAAGCACTCTCGGGGCCTATGTTTTGATCACCTTGTGCAGAGCAAACTCCTTCGATTGTAAAGCAACTCAATAAAGAGCCCATGCTGTTGCACCAGTGTGAACTATTTCCCACTTCTCATATCAGTGAGGCCTTTTTTTGCTATTTGGCTGCCATGTTCGCCTATAAATACGGTCACTACATAAATGGAAATCCCTTTTGTCTATAAAAATATTAACTTTTCTCCTGTGAATTTGTTCACAAGTTGAAAGAATGATATGCCTAACACAGTGGGTCATTTTGGTAGGGACAAATATTAAGACTTATTTTCTAACTGATGTGCTAGTGAATATTTTACAGTAGGAGATTCGTAGTTGCAGACAGTGTATTGTGTATGTGTTTTATGTAATGTTATTTAGCATGATTCTTTCAAAACAGATAAATTTAATTTAAATTATCTGAATAATGGCACAAGATCTTAAAGTTTTACTGTTATCCATGGATCCTTTAACTTCATAATCTATGCTGTGATTAAAAAATGCTGCAATTCAATTAGTAGCACACAGGAAAGAAAATGGAGTATTTGTCTCCTCGCTGCACCCTGCTTTGACATACCTGACAACAGTAATGGGTTCTCTGAGTTTACCGACTGTTAAACTTGCTTGATCTTATAGGTTGAAGAATGAGCATTGAATGCTGGGGCTGCTGCTCTTTTAACCTTTATAGCAGAGGAGATGAATTTGCCCTATTTATAATTTGTGGAACGTAAAATTTATGCCTTTTAGTACAGCAATACAAGTTTGATCTTGTTTAAAATATTGTCATTGGTGGACCTTGGGCTTTTCTTAGATATTTGTAAGTCACATGATTACTTAATAGGACTTTGAATTCATATTGCAACTTAAAAGCAACTTAAAGGCATCTTGTCTTTTCATTTGTGTTATCAAAAGCAATACAGAATTAAATTTTATTCTTGGGTTTTTCCCCAATCTGCAAGTGAATACGTAGTTCTGGGGCCACTCCTGTTTGACATAATGAGCTCTGTCACGTTACTACAGTTTACAGCCAGATCTGCCACAGCTGGTCTAGTTGCCCAGCAGGAATTGAGGAAACAGACAAGCCTGTCCAGTTTTCCGCTGCTGCCTCTGTTTTGTTGGTAGTGTGTTACTTTTTTTGTGGAATTGCTCAAATTCTAGGTAAGAATCGTCGAACCTTCAAATAATTTAACCCTAGAGTTTATTTAGTGTTTCAAATTCAGTGGGTTGTTGAAAGTGAGGTTGTCTGCTTATTTGAATTCATCATGTTTGAATGTTGGGTTCTTACTCATTTTAATATTTCAAGATGCTTTGCAGTAGATTTTTGTTGTGTATTCATATACCTGATTACTGCTAGTTAAGTGCGTCTGTGGAATGTTTATTCAAAAAAAATTGCCAATATTTTTGTTGTATGCTAGTTAATGTCATGAACTTGTAAATTATAATTGAACACAGTTGTACATTACACTAGTGTAATAGATTTTTTTATATAAAAAACAATCTTAAGACATTTCACTTGTAAATGGGAGTATGGTCCCTCATTTGGTCAACGAGTCTGATTTTAAAAAAATGTAAAGTATAATCTCTGAGCCTCTGCTTCCATGAGAAGATCAGTATTTTAGTAATTCTTCTATTTTTACATACACTATTGATCCTGGCTGAAAGAATTTAATCTCCCATGGGCAGGGGAAAGACTTCTTCTTTGTGTTTTGTTGCTGGGTCTTTTAACATTTTACTTATGGTCTGAAAAATCTTTTTGTTGCTGAATGTGTCTACCTGGAGCAGTTCCAGAACATGTGCTCTATTGTAATTCTGGAATGGAACAGTATTTGCTTTCTCTGTCCTACTTTTGAAAAACGCTAGTGGCTGTTTGTTCTGTGCCAAAATCTGGCCATCTAAATGCATGCAATCTCTGTTACTAGTTAATTGTTTCGCTGGTGTTTAGGCGACCTATATGATTTGGGTGTATGTTCAGATTATTCATTCTTTATCTGACAAAGATCATATTAATTCTATACACATTATAGAATTTTTTTTCTAACCACAATAGGGGATTTACATGTTTTTATTCTGCATGAGAAAATCTTATTCCACAGAATCGGCCTGAAAGGCATGAGAAAATATTTCCCATATTAGTATTGATGCTCAGGCAGGCTACACTATTCCCTTACAAGGAAACATCTGGAGGATTGCTTTCTGCTCCCTTCTCCATTTCACTGCTTTCATCTGTATTTTAAACAGAATTTTGTATACAGAAGTTGTTCTGATATAATTTTTACTTGAATATTAGTATTCGAAACATCGCATTGATCAGTTTTGATCTATAATTTATTACTGATTGATCTATTTAACCAGTTAACAACTACCTTAACTGGTAATGCTTAATGTTTTTAGGAAAACAAAATATTGAAAAATAATAAGTGTTGGGGAATGCAATGTATGTTTTGCAATCCTTGGCAAGTCAGGTGTGAACTTGAATAATTAGGGTTGGGCTTGGGTGTTGCCAGTCTTGATTTGTTTTAGGCAAAGAAAAAAAGGCTTGAGGCATTTTCTGTCATGAAGTTTAATTGCAGATGGTGTTAAATGATTAAATATGTTTCCCACAGAAACAATCAGAATTGTGTTTCACATGCAGACAATAACTGTGTTGCTCTGATGTCTAATTAATTTGGTTGCCATTATGATCAGTAGAGGCAACAATTCAATGCAATTTTATGGGTTATTGTATGTGAAAGTTATTATATAAGTGCAGGTTATTCTACTAAATAGTCACCATACTTTACAATAAATCCTGTGGAAATCTTTGAGTCATACACCAACATGAAAGGCATTGTATCAATGCAAGGATTATGATTTTTTTGTAGGGAACATACAGCCTTACAGTCAGTGCTTAACAAACAGAGCAGTTGATTTCTTTGAAGAAATTAATACATTAATTTAGAGGTTTTTCTTTTTGGTCTTTTGTCCTTCACCTCTTTCTTCTACCATCTCCACCCCAATGAGAATAAGAACATACATCCTATCACTCTTCATTGATATTGCAAGACTGTTCCCTAAATAACTTGAGGACCAAGAATAAGGACTAGGTGGGGTGAGAAAGGAAACAAGTAAATATATATAAACTTGAAATGTTCTATCTTCATAATTTAGACATATGCCTATTTATTGAATTGAATGGTAGATGTGGAAAGGTGCTAACCAAATGTAGATTTATTGTTGTACATAAAGGGACTAGACAAATAGACATAGGCCCCAGTGAAGTGTGTTGAGACAGAGGAAAGACGGGGGTTTTAAATTGTTTAGAATATTTTTTCCTAAAAGTGGTGACAATGGATTGTTTCAATTTATGGATTTGGACACCCCCCATCAAATAATAATCTGATCAAAGTGGCAATCCTTCATCTGAGTCTTAACACTGGAAAATAGTGGGCTGTTCAACTCGACAACATGATCATCACAATTAATATTGGTCTGATTCAGCTGCCTCTTACAAGTGCATTTTTCAGCAGGGTTTACTATATAACAATCAGCAGGGAGAATGTTTCTGCTCCAGGTGTGATCCAGGAACCACAATTGAGCCTCAGGTATTTTGAACCACACATGGCTCTGTACCACATCAAGCAGTACCACACCTAATATTTAAATTACAGAGATTAAAATTGCTTTTTACAGGAACTGGGGACATTAGACTTTGCACCTATCCTAAGTATAAAAGGACTCCGTACATTAATAACATGCTATTTTGATCCATAAACACCGGGTTATAATGAGGCACAAAGCAAAAATGATTGCCACGTGCACTTCCGAACGACGGCACCTCTGATGATGACTTCATTTGTAGTTTGGTTTCCCTGCTACTTAAATGTGTATTTTTGTCCACAGAATTCAAGCCAAGCCAAGGTGAGCATTTGGGCAAATGATCATGAGAGCTCCTATCCTTTTTCATGTTGGAAGAAATTCGCTGACTAAATTTCATAAACTAGAAAGGTTCCATATTTAATCTCAGTTAGGTATCTTATAACTGTGGAGAGGAAAGGTTGGCAGAGCTTCCTATTTCTGATCACTATAGTCACTCGTGCTGCTGCAAAGTTTATGCATGTGAATAGAATGATAGGTTTCCCCCCTGCTCGGGTCCTGACCCAACTGTGCAGCTTCGTGGGACGTCCTCCCGACGTGAAAGGCGCTCTATAAATGAAATCTTGTTGTTGTTGTTGTAGGTTCAGGTCTTTTCCTTTTTTCTTCCTTGTTATAGACCTCAGCACTGCTCTTCACTTGTGACTTTTTAATATTATTTGTGTATATAGAAGTGAATTTACTGCATAAAACTGGGGCATGCAGTCATGTGGCAATGTGGTATCTGGTACATTTGAAGTGATTTTTATGTTGGATCTTCTTAGTTGTCTGTATTTTTAGCCCATCCTGCATACTTATCCTCCAGCCAAATACTATACTACTGAATGTAATACTGAAGAATTAAACACCAGAAATGATCCCGTTAAAGGCATTGCTGTTCAGTCACTCGTTAAGCCATCCTTCTGTCGGAAGAGATTGTAATGTAAATGGTTTGCCTGCAGTAGAATGTGTTTTGCACTGCTGTACGAACATTATGTGAGCTTCAACTTGAATGCTGTTAAATTTAATTAATGTCCATTGCAAAATTGTATTGTTTGCAAACAAGTAGATGTTAAATCTCTCATTTTTATTTTCCAAACACATTTTTTCAAAAAAGCCATGTGTGTCTGTGTTAACCCTGTTGTAGTCAGTCAGAAAATATATTAGTTAATATGATTTTGCTTGTGAATACTATGATTTAGGAATTCAACTGTGTAATGCAAGGTTTCTTTATCTACAACCAGTCCATCCTAAATTAATTGTTATTCAGTTCTTTTCCTCCCATGGTTCGTATAATAATAATGCTCTAAACAAGAATGAGGTCATAGCAATTGTAATGAAGAACAACCTTGGAGATTCTGCCCATATATACGTTTTAAATGTTTCTCCATGTGACTGTAGGATTTTCAGGTGGACATTAAAGATCCAATGGCACTTTTTGAAAATTGTCTTAGTCTACCAAGACCTCCAATATATTTAACAGTAATTGATTGTGAAGTGTTTCCAATGGGTCTCTAAAAGTGCAATTTGTTTGGTAACCCAAGTAATTTGGTTCTTCCTTAATTCCTCAGGCGTGCTGACCCACCTTTTTTTTAACCTTGAGCATACACATTCCTATACATTGAGTATTCATACACACTCAAAACTGCAAGATGTCTGCACCCATTAAATAGAGAGTAGATATTGTGCAGTCACTGGAAGAGTTAGAGCAACCACATTCTTTTTTTCCTCAACATGCTTTCTATTGTAGATTTTGTAATACAACACTTGCTATATGAATGTTGAATGAATACTATTATAAGTGTCAAGTGTCAATAAAGAAATACAAATGTCAATAAACATTGAACATTCTGGTTGCTAATTTGCATTCATATTTGTGATTCGATTTTGATCTTTCTCTCTTGCTCTCCCATTTGATGCCAATCGATTTTTTTTAAAAAAGGGTATGTCTGTGTAGATTTTCGTATCCATCAGACAGCTTTTTGTCGTGAATCAGGACTTTACCTCAGGGTTGAGTGAGGAAGACATCTGGGTTCCTGGCGATGGGGAAAGCTTGGCTGTTTCTACTTTTTAGTTTTGCACATAGGAGGGGAGAACGGTCCATGGTCTGTTTGTTTGGTGAGCTCCATCACTGACTAATGTAGTCCTAGATTGAAGCAACCGAAAAAAAATATTAAGCATGACTACAGCATCCGCCACAAGGGGGCATAAATTGTTGCAAATTGTTGGTGTTCATGCGGTAGTGCAGAGTACAGTATATTGCAAATCACAGTACCATACATGTTTTTATATTGTTTTTGAATTGTTAAATTGAGATCTCCTTTGAGAGTAGTGTGAGTAAGTAAATGGGAGGCCATGCTAATTAAGTTATTGCTTAGATTTAAAACACAAGAAAAGATGGATTAACTTGGGTCACCTATGACTATTATGTTTGTTATGGTGTTTTAAAATTGCATAGTATCATTTTATTATGCTAATTGAAGTGTATGTACAATAAAATACAAAATCACATTTGTATAGCGCCTTTTACGACGGGAGGACGTCCAAAGGCACTCTATATCATGTTGCCCCTGTCTTGCTCTCTTACAGTTCATGTCAGTGAACATCCAACTTGAGTAATGTGGATTGATACAGCTTTTTGCCCCTTTCACTTGCACAATGGTCCAGCTGAGATTGGAATTGCACATTCTGTAACCCTGTCTACCATTGTTTCTTCGGGTAGGGGACATCCTCCTAACGTGAAAGGCGCTATACAAATGTAATCTTGTTATTGTTGTTGTTAGGGTAAAGTTTGCTGTTGTATTGACATATTATCATCGGGTTGCCATCTCTTTTCCTTGACAAACTTAATCAACTTATGGTTTGATTGAACCTTTCTAGTTTATGGGTAAAATGGCCACTGTGCTAAATGAAATCTCTGCTTGTTATTCCCAGGGAACTGTCTTCAGTCTGGATTCTGAAGAGGAAGAAGAGGAGCAAGGAGAAACTGCAGACGATAGTAATGATATTTATATCCTAACAAGTGATAACTCTGGTCAAGTAAGTCCTCCTGCTGAGTAAAGAAAAACGTTGTGATATCTGTCCGGAAATTAGTCTCTTGTCTTAGTGGATCCTAAATTATTGTTCTGGGTTTACTTTTTGAATCCCATTTAAAATGTTGTACACCTCCATAAGGTCCCCTCTGAGTCCTGCTCAGCTACTAAATAGTATGCTAAGTGGTCAATTGCACACCTTTGCCGTTTTTTAGAAATTGTTGAATATTCTTCTATTTGTGGAAGCAGTTGTAATACTGTATTGCTATTGCCAAAGCATCTCACTCCATATCTGTCCCCTCCACACACAGACACACACACGCACAAATTTTCACTCTTCGCTCAGTATTTTTTTCCTCTTCTTCCCTCAAAGAGTAAATGTATTTAGTAAATTAAAAACAAAAAAACTGAACAAAACCATTTCACACTGTTTCGATTCTGCATTAAGTATATAAATAGAACTGCAGATGTTTATGTGTTTAACTCGAGGGGCTGAACATACCTAGACTTTGCTGAGTATCGATCGTTTGTCTGCTACATTCTTGAGATCCACAGAGAAATCCACACTCAATTCCTTTGACTTGAAACAATTTTGTTCAGTAGCTGAGATCAATCCTGGCTACGAAAACGTGGTGAGGGCGCTCAATTCTGCTGATATTAAGTAACTATTTCGTGCTGAAGCCGGATCACACGATCCAGTTTAATCGATCCAAAGAGTGAAACGATTGTATAATCGTCCGCCGCATTTCGCCCGCAAACACAGTCAATTCGCTTTACAATCTATTCCGCGAAGCGCTTTGAGACGGCTGGAAAAAGCGCTACATCAAATGCGAGGATTATAATTATTATATTATTATAATGTGGAGTCCTGTAGCTCAGTGGTTAGAGCACTCGCTTTGCAAGCGAGAGACCCGAGTTCAATTCCAGGCAGAGGGCGAAACCTTGGGCAAGTTTCCTTACTCCACACAGAGCCTAATAATAATCCCTCCAAAACCAAAAACAATAATAAAATTGGTCATTTTCAATCTACGACTGTTTGTGGGACATTGCTGTGCGCAATTGGCTGCCGCGTTCGCCCACAAATATACAGTCAATTCACTTAACAGTGTGTTCTGTGAAGCGCTTTGGGACGTCCTCCCGACGTGAACAGCGCTATATCAAATGCAAGGATTATTATTAATGCAATGATCAATATTTTCGGCAGAGGGGCGCTCACGTCCTCTGGGTTGGGGATTGGCGAATGGACGGGTGAGGAGACGTGGGGGTGGGGGGGGGTGTGGGGGGTGGGGGGGGGGGGGTGGAGGGTGGGGGATGTGGGGGGGGGGTGTGTGGGGGGAATTTTCAGATCCCAAATTTTCTTTTTGTTTAAGTTTTACGTTTGAGCGATTGCATTGCATCGCATTGCGATAAATACTGCGACGTGTGCGCTGTGTCACGCATTCGCCGCGTCTGACCGGGAAAGCGGTGCCAATGCGATTCGACTCCGGGAGATAAGAGCGGCTCCAATCACGAGCTCAGCTCAGCTCAGGGGGGACTCGGTGCGCCGGAGCCACACAGTTGGGTTCAGGTGTTTCACTGCCGATCTGTGTCACTGCTCTTCCAACGACTGCGAAACTCGGGCGGTTGCTGCTGTTGTATAAAAAGTTCCTGCGGGGTGTTGCTGTCACCGCAAGTGAGTTTTTATTTTGTGTGTGTGTGTGTGTGTGGGTGTGTGTGTGTGTGTGTGTGTGGGAGGGGGTAAGTTCCGTGCAAAAGTAAAGGCAAGTGAATTTGGGGAGGGCGACTGGTTTTGTGCTCAGGTTTTGGATGCTTTCGCTTGTTGGCTCGTCTCCACGGAACTGGGACTTAAGTAAAAAGAAAGGTAGTGGAGGCAAAGGGCAATGGTTACTTTAGGCCAAGAAACTGGACTCATTTTTTTAAAAAAGCTTGATACTTTGATGGGAGGACTTGAGCGTGGATGTTCTGGAAGGATGAGATCAAAAGGTTTTCTTCATCTGAACCAATCTTGTGATTGCTAGCCAACTTCACCTTTGTGACCTTTCCTGCGGGTTCGAGCATTGAATCCAAATTCCCAGAATGTAGTGTGCATTGACCCATCTGTCAGTTTTAAATTTTCCACTGTATAATATCAGGCAAATAATGCCCATATTTTGAATTTGAGCTAACTTTAAAAATCTGCCATAGAATGAACTGGATGTGTGCGGAATTGTCAACAATAAGCATAGGTTACAGTGATTATTTTTTAGCAGACCTACAAAACCAATTAATAGGTATTCTGTTTGAATACTTTGTTTTTGTGAAGCCTATGTAGTAACTGTGTAGTAAAATATGAGAATAATTCATTTCTTAAATTTTGAATTACTTGCATTTGGATTTTTCTTTTTTATTATTTTTGCAGGCCCCTCCAGTATGAGGTTTACAAAGAGCAGATATGTCAAGCTGCCAGCCACACAACTGGATGGAATAAGGTAAGACATTGGCCTTGGTTCACCTTCCAACCCTCTCTGTCCTCCACCCTTCCTGATCCGAACCCCCACCCCCGCTCGGGTGCTAATGACACTGACTGGTTGGAGCCTTGGGTCTTTCTCCCGACTTGAAAGGCGCCTTACAAATGTAATTTTGTATTGTATCAAGTGAATGAACAATTTTTAGCTGGGAACCTTCTGAACCAGAGGCGAGAGTACTATCAACTGAAACGGTGCCGGGGCTAGAGGAGAAGCTATTGTGTAGATGAAGTGGAGACGATGTGAGAGGTAGGATCTGAACCATTCAAGGACAGAACCATGAAGATTAAGAAGAGGTGGTGGAGGAGGATAGAGTGGTCAATGGTACTGAAGGTGGCAGGGAAGTCAAAGGGGATGAGGAGGCAGAAGGAGCCCTGGTCACAGGTGGACAAAATGTCATTTGTCACTCTGATCAAAGCGGTTTCTGTGATGAGGGCGGCACGGAAACCCAATTGGAGGAGTTCGTGAAGGGAGTGGCGGGAAGAAGGAGCAAAGCTGGAAAGCAAATGCTGAGATTATCTCTGATTATGTGGTGCCAATGCTTAATTGGGAATTGAGCCACTTTCAAGTCCTGCCAATGAGGGTCCAAGTCCTACTAAGAACATTTAACTTGGTAGCTGATTAAACTAGGACCCTTTAAGTCTTTTATACAGTAGATTAATTTCACACACAGTGTGCACTGAACCACTGGAGAACTCTGTTTTTGAATTTTGATGTGACTGTTGTGCAATAACTACATCACATGTCCACTCCTTATATAACTAATGGAAATCGTATGCTAGCCAGGAAATTGATACTGGAGGCAATACTGAATTTGTCTTTGGTCTTTTTCAGACAGTGTCTGTCTGTGTCACTACCCGGATTGTTTTAGTCGAATTCGCTTCCTTGTGGTAGGAAGGAGCTGCAGAAGACAAAGATTTTTTTACCCCTTTTTTTAAATTGAAGACAAGAAACATGCATCTTAATTCCCTTCAATAGCGTACAATGCAATACAAAATTAAATTTGTATAACAATGACTTTTTAACAAAAATTGTGTACTTTTTTTAGGTGTCAGTGTGGCACAGTTGCTAGCTCTCACACCTTTAAGTCAGAAAGGTGTGGGTTCAATCCTCATGCCAGGATTTGAAATTCATAAATATAGGCTGATGCTCCAGTGCAGTGGTGGGGGTGTGCTGCATTGTTAGAGGTTCTGTTCTTGATGTGAGACTAAGGTCCTGTCTGCCTGTTAAGGTGGATATGGCAAACTTTAAAAAGAAAAGGGAGATTTTCCCGGTGTTATGATCAACAATCCCCCAAATAAAATTGGTCATTTTCATGATTACTTTGTGGGACATTGCTTGTGCGAATTGGCTGCCGCTTTCGCCCACAAATACAGCACTACACTTCACAATAAATCCTATGAAACTTTGAGACGTCCTCCCATGTGAAAGGCCTATATCAAATGCAAGTATGATTTTTAAGATTAACTGCTCGTGAATGTCACTGAATTCCAATCTCATCAGAAGAAGATTGTGATCTTGTACTCAACTAACTCCTTTGAAGCTAACTGAACAACTTGCTCAGTAATTGACTGGAATCGGAAGCTGATGTGCTGAATTTAAAACCTAAGAAAATACAGAATGAGAAAAGGGATTTGAACTCCCATCAAGTGTGCTCTTTCCATAGCCTATACTTCAATCTATAGTCAGCGAGTAAATTGCCAGTAAATTATGACTTAAAAGTGGGTGGAGGACAGAGAACTACATCTGAGAACCAGTGCTATTGGTTTGCTCCTTTAAATGTGTAGCTGAACTGAACTTTTAATTTTATAGGTTCTGGTTTCCCTGGTGTTACTGCAGCAGCTACTGAAAGTGTTGAGCAGACGGGAGAGCAACCATTGAAAGCACTACTGCATTTTGGTGTGAAATACATTGAAGAGTTTGAAGCTGATTATATCATCCAACAAGGAGGATGGGTAGGTCCTTATAATTCCAATTTTAGAAACGTAAGGATTGCTAATTTTATGTTTTGGTGGGTCATGTTGAACAATATCAATACTGAGGCACATGTGCACTAAGCACTCTCGGGGCCTATGTTTTGATCACCTTGTGCAGAGCAAACTCCTTCGATTGTAAAGCAACTCAATAAAGAGCCCATGCTGTTGCACCAGTGTGAACTATTTCCCACTTCTCATATCAGTGAGGCCTTTTTTTGCTATTTGGCTGCCATGTTCGCCTATAAATACGGTCACTACATAAATGGAAATCCCTTTTGTCTATAAAAATATTAACTTTTCTCCTGTGAATTTGTTCACAAGTTGAAAGAATGATATGCCTAACACAGTGGGTCATTTTGGTAGGGACAAATATTAAGACTTATTTTCTAACTGATGTGCTAGTGAATATTTTACAGTAGGAGATTCGTAGTTGCAGACAGTGTATTGTGTATGTGTTTTATGTAATGTTATTTAGCATGATTCTTTCAAAACAGATAAATTTAATTTAAATTATCTGAATAATGGCACAAGATCTTAAAGTTTTACTGTTATCCATGGATCCTTTAACTTCATAATCTATGCTGTGATTAAAAAATGCTGCAATTCAATTAGTAGCACACAGGAAAGAAAATGGAGTATTTGTCTCCTCGCTGCACCCTGCTTTGACATACCTGACAACAGTAATGGGTTCTCTGAGTTTACCGACTGTTAAACTTGCTTGATCTTATAGGTTGAAGAATGAGCATTGAATGCTGGGGCTGCTGCTCTTTTAACCTTTATAGCAGAGGAGATGAATTTGCCCTATTTATAATTTGTGGAACGTAAAATTTATGCCTTTTAGTACAGCAATACAAGTTTGATCTTGTTTAAAATATTGTCATTGGTGGACCTTGGGCTTTTCTTAGATATTTGTAAGTCACATGATTACTTAATAGGACTTTGAATTCATATTGCAACTTAAAAGCAACTTAAAGGCATCTTGTCTTTTCATTTGTGTTATCAAAAGCAATACAGAATTAAATTTTATTCTTGGGTTTTTCCCCAATCTGCAAGTGAATACGTAGTTCTGGGGCCACTCCTGTTTGACATAATGAGCTCTGTCACGTTACTACAGTTTACAGCCAGATCTGCCACAGCTGGTCTAGTTGCCCAGCAGGAATTGAGGAAACAGACAAGCCTGTCCAGTTTTCCGCTGCTGCCTCTGTTTTGTTGGTAGTGTGTTACTTTTTTTGTGGAATTGCTCAAATTCTAGGTAAGAATCGTCGAACCTTCAAATAATTTAACCCTAGAGTTTATTTAGTGTTTCAAATTCAGTGGGTTGTTGAAAGTGAGGTTGTCTGCTTATTTGAATTCATCATGTTTGAATGTTGGGTTCTTACTCATTTTAATATTTCAAGATGCTTTGCAGTAGATTTTTGTTGTGTATTCATATACCTGATTACTGCTAGTTAAGTGCGTCTGTGGAATGTTTATTCAAAAAAAATTGCCAATATTTTTGTTGTATGCTAGTTAATGTCATGAACTTGTAAATTATAATTGAACACAGTTGTACATTACACTAGTGTAATAGATTTTTTTATATAAAAAACAATCTTAAGACATTTCACTTGTAAATGGGAGTATGGTCCCTCATTTGGTCAACGAGTCTGATTTTAAAAAAATGTAAAGTATAATCTCTGAGCCTCTGCTTCCATGAGAAGATCAGTATTTTAGTAATTCTTCTATTTTTACATACACTATTGATCCTGGCTGAAAGAATTTAATCTCCCATGGGCAGGGGAAAGACTTCTTCTTTGTGTTTTGTTGCTGGGTCTTTTAACATTTTACTTATGGTCTGAAAAATCTTTTTGTTGCTGAATGTGTCTACCTGGAGCAGTTCCAGAACATGTGCTCTATTGTAATTCTGGAATGGAACAGTATTTGCTTTCTCTGTCCTACTTTTGAAAAACGCTAGTGGCTGTTTGTTCTGTGCCAAAATCTGGCCATCTAAATGCATGCAATCTCTGTTACTAGTTAATTGTTTCGCTGGTGTTTAGGCGACCTATATGATTTGGGTGTATGTTCAGATTATTCATTCTTTATCTGACAAAGATCATATTAATTCTATACACATTATAGAATTTTTTTTCTAACCACAATAGGGGATTTACATGTTTTTATTCTGCATGAGAAAATCTTATTCCACAGAATCG